GTAGTATCTAAGCACTTGGAGCCCTTATGTTGAGAGCTATAGCCCAGGAAAATACACGCAGCAAAATGAAATTCAAGCTTACAAGTATTATAGGCATGCAAACATGGGAAGCATTGACACCCAAACACCTTTAGAATATTGAAGTTAGGAGATAAACCATAGAGCTTTTAAAAAGGAGAACAGTCACCAAGAGCCTTAATAGTAAGACGATTCATTAAGAAAACTATAGTATGAAAAGCATCAGGCCAAAAATATAATGGCAAGGAAGCATGATCCAGAAGAGAAAGACCAATCTCCACAATCTGCTGATGCTTGCGTTCAACAGTACCGTTTTGCTCAGATGTGTATGAACGAGTAAATCGGTGTTGAATACCACACTCAGACAAAAACTTAATGAAAGCTACAAATTCGCCACCATTGTCAGACTATAGTTGTTGAATTTTAGAGTTAAACTGTAATTCAGCAGAGGCTTTGAATAAGCGAAAAGCAATAATTGTATCAGATTTCTTTTTAAGAAAATATATCCACATAAAACATGTATAGGTCATCAACAAAAAAAAATTGTAATATGAGTATCCATTAGAAATAAGGGGATCAGGACCCTAAAGATCAACCAATACAAGTTAAGTTGTATGTCTTCTTCTCACTTTATTTATCTCTTAAAATTATGCATTAATTGAGGGATTGTTGTATTTTTCTTCTATTGATTAGAAAGGTATTAAGCTGCTAATATAATACATTGCAAGCTACTTAGTGCCTATTAATATATGCAGATAATTATGTGCCAAACATGCCCCTTGTGGTCTTTTTGATGTAGATGCATGGCAAAATTTAACTTTCCAGACTTAAACATGGTCTGGTGCAATTTCTCTACTTTGTAATATAGAAGAGGTGATGGAATGAAGCATTAACCTTCTTTGAAGCTATTGACAAGTTTTTTATGTTTATATGAGATGTAGGTAGTCGAGTTATGCTTTTTGTTTTGTGGATTGCAATGTTAGGCCTTCTTGGTGGTAAATTTTGTTTGGTGTAGACAATTGAGAATACTATAATAAGTTTTTATGCTCAAGTTAGACCATGATGATAACTGATGACAGAATTATGGATATGCTTCATGGGTTTAAAAAGAGCATGGGAGAAGGGGCGTAGAAAGGATTTGCTGAAAAGTGATTGTGTTGTGGCTCTCGAGATAATTAGGGCTCCCTATAGTGAAAGGCATGCTAATAGAGATATAAAATGATCAAATCCCTTATCCAGAGAGAATGGACAATGGATGTTACGCCAATGGAAAGACAGTTGGACATGGAAGCTGAGATTACTTAGCAAAAAATGCCCTATCTCCTCGCCTTGGCTTTCCTCATACATTATTAGAAAAATATAAATTAATGAGAAAATTTAGTGAGAGATTATTTATTCATCTTTAAAATATCAATTAACGAAGAAATTAGTGAGAGATATTGATTTTGTAACTCGATTTAAAATTAGTAAGGAACTATCAATCTCTTTTTAAAATAAGCTAATTAATAAGAAAAATAGCAAAAACTACCAATTCATCTCTAAAATAAGACAATTAACAAGAAACATAACGAGGGACTACCAATCCCTCTTTAAAATAAGATAATTAGAGAGGGATTATTATAAAAAAAATTAACTTTTGGTAATGACTTTTAATTATATATTTAATTATTTTTATTAAAATAAAAATTAACTAAAAAATTATAATAAAATTATTTAATATTTAATATTTTATTTATTTTAAGTTAATTTTTATTAATAAAATAATATTCTATTAAAAATATAATATAAGAATAATTTAAATAAAATATAAATATTTTTAACATGTTAATAATTGAAAATAAAATTTAATATGTATATATGTGTATTTTTTTAATACATTAGTTAATATATTTATGTAGTTAAATAATATATATCTAATTTCTCATATAATGACTGTTGGCACCTTTCATTTCAACTGGCAAAGCAGGAGATTATAAGACTTGAAAGGTATGAAATCAGGGATTTAAGTCTTGACTTTGGCATAAACATAATAAATATGTGACATGATAAGGAGCAAATGATATGGCACAAGGTGAATAATAGCATATTATGAATTATCGCACACGTGGTGAGTGATGAGATACAAGATGATAGGTGACATGGCTTTGACAAGGCACGAGATTATTGGTGATATGTCACAAGTTGACATACACATGACAGGTAATGTAGCATTACCATTTTTAAATATAGATACATTTAGAGAGAGATTAATTCCTTACTAAAGTTATTAAATTTTGAATAGTATTAATGAGGGGTTTAGCGAGGAATTTGATTCCTTGCTAATTTTTAATGAGGGATCGAGTCCCTTATTAATTAGCAAGAAAAATACAATTTCTCATTAAATTTAATGAGTCTTTTTTTAAGTACGAATTCGCTAAAATGTAATTTAGCAATTAAAAATTGTATTTAACAAATTTCATTTTTCTAGCGGTGATAATGTTGGGAACTCCATTGAAGGTTTTTTTGGTGCTGATAGTTTAAGTTAATTTTGTGGTTTTTCATTTTTGCTTTCCTTTGTATAAAAAAGTATTGTAATAAATTTACAGTATTATAGTAAGGATTGTTCTTCTTTTACTTTGCGAGAAATGCAAATTTGCTTTTCTTTTGCATCATTGAATATGTGAGTTTTTTTTTGTTCGACAGGAGCACTCATGGTGTTGCATGACACATTTGTTTTGTGGCATCTTATTCTAATGCACATTGAATGAGATGTTGAAAATTGCAATGAGTTTACATGTTTATACTAATTTCTATGCAAGTAATTTTTTTAATACAATGTTCAAGTAATTTTAACCTGAGTTACACAGTTGGTATATGTAAAATTTTATTTTTCATTTACAATTATTGAGCATAACTCATTTTAAATTTGGCCCAATTTCAATATAAAATTCAATTCAATATTTACTATGAGGAAACAAGTCGAGCATTACAAAATCTTAATTATCATACTAGAAAGAAGAAAACAAGTATGTGATCCTATAAGTTACTTGTACTTATGAGAAATCATTGCAAGTTGACTATAACCAATGTTAAAATCTTCCTTTCATAGAACTTTTGTGCAAAACATTCTATCATAATTCTGATCTTCATTTTATATAATTTTTAAGTAGATTAATTTATACATAATTCAATTAGACGTTACTTGTAATCTCTTGGGGTAGAGAGTAAAAGTTAGCTACATTCAAAATAACAATAGTTGTTTGTTTAAAAAAAAATAGTTGTTTTAGTATAAAAAGGATGTGAAGTCCATAAAATTATATCGTGGAGGCATTATATATAAATTTAAAATATGTGCACGTGATAGATGAAGACATTACATTTAAAATAAAAAATTGTAGAACATAATATCATAAATAGATAGTTAACAATTACAATTTCCTTGCATAAAAGGTAAGAAAACAAACAAATCTTGCAATTAACAGATTATCTATGAATTAATCATTATATTTTATCAACATTTATATATAAATAATCTTTTGTTGTATTGCACGGGGAAGTAAAAGTATGATATGTGGTATTGTCAAGGTAAGAAACATGGATGGGCTATAGATTTTGATGCATGATCATAAAAATATTAGTAGAAGAGCAACCACGTTCTAATTGGCATCCCTTTTATCTTGATTCCATTAAGTTGTAGTAATGGATTCACATTTCTTTATTATTATGGAGGTTGAGAATAGATAAGATTTTTTTTTTTTTTTGGTTAGGAATGCTTTCTATTATGTAACAAACTGATGACATCACAACTAATATAGCGTCAATCAAAAAATTATAAAGTGTGATATTTAATTTGATATAGGCACGGGTAGCAAAATCTAGTTAATTAAATTTTTGGTGCGTTCAGGATAATTTCAAGAGATGAATTCTTTCACCTACTTAGCTCAAGGTATATTAATCTGGAAATTGTATTTGCATTTGGGGTAAGACGTTGGGTCTCCACCAATATTATCAATGCTAATATTGGAGCTTACGGGTGTGTGAGGTTTCCAAAATATTACTGCAGAAGCATTTGTGATGTTAGGAAAGCAATTTTCTTTAGTCTAACTTAACACGCTGGCAAGGATTGGCGCAATTTCATGGCCGTGGATTAAGCATTGAGCATGTCCTAACAAATTATAAACATGAAAATAAGATGAAAAGATTGTAAAGTCCTTAATCACTAATTTCAAAGCATTGATAATTTTGAAAAAAGCTAGCTCATTAAGGTATATAATGCATCCGCTTATATAAGCGAGACCCTCTCCAAGTACCGTTGATATAAGGAAAAATTGAAGATTTCACATAGTACTTTTGATCGAAAAATCAATCTTATTTATTTCGTACCTTTCGCTCAATTGGAAAATGGGTCAGATTCTATAGGATCAATCCTATGGGACTTAAGGAATGATGGAAGGAAATAAAAAAGAAATCAAAAAAGAAAAATAATGAAAAAAATAAAAATGAAGTAGAAGAGTCCAGATTCCAATTGATTCTTGAAGAATGAGGGGCAAAAGGATTGATCGAGAAAGATTTCTTGTTTTTATTAGAAAATCGTGATTGAATCCACATATGTTTGGTAAAAAGAATAATATTCTCCTTTGAGAATAATCAAAAAGAAAAGTGTTCAATTGGAACATGAAAATGTGACTAAATTGGTCCTAGTTACTCTTCGAGACGGAGTGGAAGAAGGAGGGAGATTCTCGAATGAGGAAAAAGATCCAATGACTTTGAAAGAATTGAACGAGAAGCCGTATAAAGTAAAAATTTCATGTATAGTTTGTGACACGTCATGAGTATCACTTTATGATGGAGCCATTATTCTCTTTTTAAAAAACTAACCTATTAAAATATGCAGGACACTCACTTATATAGTGAAGACCCTCTTCAAGTACCTTCGATATGGGACCTAACATGTCACTCATAACACGCAAGAATAAAAGCATCTAGTGGGGAAAAGAACGATATTCCTCGAAGTAAACCACGATTCCTTTTCTGTATATTAATACATAAAGAGCAACAGCGAATTAAACTAGAAATTTTGTTCTCATGTTTATCTCCGATAATATACTATTATACTCCATTTATATCGGGAGAGAAATTCAAGCACACATCTGCAAGTATGTTGTGTGAAAAATAGAGACCCTAATACAATGTTTGAATCCAAAAACTAAGGTCACCTAATCAACCACAATTTGAGATCTATTGACAGTATTCATGCCACATGTTCAGATGCATTAATATTAATCATAGGACCCTAGAAAGCAGGGGAAACCATATTCCTCAAGAGACATGAAAATTCCACTCGATAGGGTTAAATCCTCGGAGATATATGAACTTGCAATGGATTTTTCATTACAATGGTGAATACATGTTTCTCTGATAGATCAACATCACCATTTGCAGCTGCTGGCTTCCACTCAAAATTCCAAACTAGATTAGCTACAAAGTACTCCAAATGAAGCAGTGCCAAATTATAACCAGGACATATCCTTCTTCCTACCCCAAAAGGCATCATCTTTATCTCTTTCCTTCCCGTAATATCGAATACTTCACCTCCATCTTTTTCACTGTTCAGGAACCTCTCTGGCTTGAATTCCATTGGATTTTCCCACTCTTTTGGATCCCATCCCATCTCCGCCACCATGACATTTACACTCCCATTCTTAGGCACTAAGTAACCATTCAAAACCACATCCTCTGTCACTGCGTGAGGTAGCAGAAAATGTCCAGGTGGATGACGCCTTAATCCTTCCAAAATCACAGCCTTCAGATATGGCAATCTCATCAAGTCTTCCTCTTTCACTTCCTTGTCCTCCCTCTCACCCACCACGTCTCTTATTTCCTCTACAAGCCTTTGTTGCATATGTGGATACTTCACCAGGTTTGCCATAATCCACTGCAAAGCCGTCGCCGTCGTGTCCGTCCCTGCATTGAGAAACTCAGAACACAGAGAAACGAGTTCACCTTCTTCAAGCTTGCGCTTCTCCTCTGGCAACTGCAAATCCAACAATGTATCCACGTATGATACTGTAACTTCATCTCTGTTGTTATTGTCCTCCCCATCAGTTCTGCTCATCTTCTCTTCCTTGGCTTTCTTTCTCGCTCTTATTAGCGGAATCAACACATCTTTTCGTTCCGTGAGAATTTGGAACAATTCCTCCCAACGCTTGTGGAACAAGATTCGGGTAACACTGGGCCAGAAATTTAGCATATTGAATCTTGTGAAGCTCGTAAGTAAACGACGCTCAACATATTCGATATCTTTGATTTGCTTGTCGCCTACCCTCTCACCGAAGCACATGAATACCAGCAAGCAGAACATAGCGTAGTGGAGATGATCAATCACCTTAATGGACTTGCTTGATTCCGAATCAGACCTGAGGCGATTGAGGAGCTCGTCCAGAACCCATTTTCGGGTACCCGAGAAGGCTTTGATCCGGGTCGGGTGAAGCATCTCGGAAGTGAGGTTGCGACGAAGCACACGCCATGTTGGGCCGTAGGGAGCAGAGTTGATGGTATGTTGGTTGCAGTTGATGACCCTAGCGGAGGGAAGGGACTTGGGGCGGCTAGAGAAGACGGCGCCGTTTTGAACGAGGGCCTGGTGGGCGAGAGAACGATCGGCGATGAATATAGGAGGACGAAAGCCGAGGGGGAGAGTGAAGATGGGTCCGTACTTGGCACGAAGGTTTAGGAGAAGAGGTTCGAGCTCGGAGAATGATTTGCGGAGAAGAATCGAAGAACCGATGATGGGAAGACGGGGAGGGCCAGGAGGAAGAGGAGGGGAGCGAGAGGGGAAGAGAAGGTTGAAGAAAGCTCTGAGGAGAAGACAGAGAAGGAGGGAAACGATGGCGACGAACCAAGCCTCCATGACCGGTCGTTCATTCAATGATATGGTACAGACAGAGACGGATAGAGTGTATATGCGAGTGAACAAAAATTATCAAGGCATATCCAAGAAGCGGAGGACGCACAGCTAGTCCGGTCGTGAAAAGATAAATGGATAGCGTGCCTGTCTGGTTCTTTCTATAAAATAAAACTAACCACAACCCCGTGTGATGCACGAATTGATCAAAATAAAAATAATTAAATTTAAAAAATAATAGTATAAATCATATAAATGTAACTATAATATATGCAATGTGTTAAGAAATGAAATAAGATATTATTTTTCAAAAGCGTATGTATTTGTCAAAAAAAAATCAATAAAAAAGTCATAGTTCACTGCATATCATAGTTTAAAAAAATTATTCATAAATAAACCATACATTCGTAATTTGGAGATTTTGAAAAATCTTATAAAAAATCACATTGATAGTGGTTGTCTTGCCTTGCGTATCACTGTCGTGAATTAATATTCTCAAGCCATCTATGCTTCTAATTTTAGAAAGTACAACATACAGTTCACCATGTGTAAAAATTAATCTTAGCAAATAAGGACCAACATTATATAATGATTGACCTTAACTTTTGTTTATAGTCATTGCGAAAGAAAAAATGATTGGAAACTATTTTTTTGCATGCGTTCAGAAGGATTCATATTCATCCTATGTATAAGAACCTTTTGATTTGGGCTTGAGTAATTATACATTTGCCAAGCTTTGTAATCTGCAATCTTGTACCATTATATACTTCTGACGCTTGGTCAACATTTCTAAAAAGCATTACTGGTGCACCAATCTTGAGTGTAAGTTTATGAGGAGGAAGGCCAAAACTAGTAATTGTGTTAAGAAACTCAATAGTGTAAAGATTCTCAAATGAGTCACTGTCTTATGATGATCTGCAAACAGAACCGTAACTAAAATATTCTTCTACTTCACCAGGTAAAATATCACACATGAATTCATTTATTTGGTTAATGCACTCTAGATTGGTGCAAGGATTGCCCAATCATTAAAGTATGTTGTGTTTGGAAAATTTTCCAATAATTCTGAATATGTGGATGAGACAATTGCAGCCAAAAGATCCTTGTATGAAGTAATCAATATCTCTGTCAGGATTTCAATATTTACAATGCCATCATCTAATTGTCCAACCTTCCCATCTCTAACATCTAATAACCATTGTGAGAATTTATGTACTTTTTCACATTCTGGAGAAGATAAAGATGATATCAACTGCATGTTTTTTGTCAATTGTATATTTTGTATTAATTCCACAAGTATGAAGAACTTTACTTAAATTAATTTTTATTAATTTTTTCCTTTTAAATTCATTTCAGTTGTGAAACAAATTTGTATTTTTTAAAATTAATAGGTATTTTTATTATTTCATCAAAATTTTTAATAATAATTTGATCTCTTAAAATTTAGAAAGCATTATTATATTTTGCTGGATTAAATTGTTATTTTTTTATTTTGAAAAGATTTATTTATCATTTTTCCTTTCATTTTCATTTTATAAAAACAAAGCTTTTTAATTGTCATTTAATCAAAATCTTAATAATAATTAGGTTGCTTAGAAGTTAAAAAAAAAATATCACATTTTATAAGAGTAAATTGTCATTTCCCTTTTTCAGAGAAATTTATTTATCATTTTTCCAAAATAAAACTTTTAATTCTTAAATTGTCTTTGTATAATATCATATTTTGTAGAATTAAATTATTATTTTTTATTTTAAAAATAATTATTTGTCATTTTCTCAAAACGAGACTTTCGATTCTTAAATTGTTTTCATAAAATGAAAAAGCTTTACACGGAAATAATGAAACTTTTTAATCACTTATTTTTTGGTTAACAATTTGGTTTTTAAATTTATTTTTTATTAATTTGTCCCTTTTAAATTCATTTTAGTTATTGATTTAACACTTATTATTTGAGTTGAGGTCTCACCTTTAAAAGATGTTGAATGATAACAAAATATTAAGTTACCAGTATGTAAATTAATTTTCCTTAGGAAAAATTAATATATATATATATATATATATAAAGGCTCACTACAAATTTAATTGTGGAGATGAACCTAAAAACTTTTCTAATATGAGGTTCTTCGCTAGAATGAATTTGAATTTTCAAATAACTAGATTGCCCTTATGATTAAAAAAAAAGTTGGAAAAAGTCATTCGCTATCAATATGTTGCACAATGTCACTTGCTATCAATAATTTGGAATCAATATGTAAAATAAAGTCCTTCAATGTCAATATATTTAACAAAGTCTTTTGGTGTCAACATATCAAGTAAGGTGTAAATTTTTAAGACATGGTATATTTGAATGTTTGAAAGTCAATTACATTTCATTAAAAGGTGTTTGCATATTATGAAAGAAGGGTAGCATATGGTTGAAGATATTAACATATTATCTCAAAACATGATACTAAGTATAAAATTTCAAGATATATACAAAATAAATATTTTAAAAAACTAAAAATATCTTATATTTTTAAATATCTAACTATTTAAAAAATATTTTATATTTTTAAATAAAAGAAGTAGGTCTCATCAACATTAATTAATATCTTCCCTGTGAAAGCAACGGGTGGATCTCTCCACATGTTGGGGAAATATTCTCTTGTTTTTTCATAAAGTCTGTAAATTATATAAAATTCACTTACTCTCATCTATTTTATTTATAAGATAAAAAAATATTTTTTATTATACTTATAGATCACATCATTAAATTTTTACTACAAATTTTTTTTACCCTTTATTAAATGTTGAAGAGAAAAAATATATTATTAAAATGTATATATAAGGTTTTCTTTATTTTTAGTGAAACATATTAAAAATAATTTATAAATAAGATCAGATAAATATTTTATAAGTTTAAAAAAATGTGGTGGTGGAGATGTTATGAAAAGTGATTTATCGTGTACAATTTTATAAAAGACAGAAATTATTTTGTGTTTAGCTACAATAAAACAAGGGTAAGATGTAACACACCAAAATTTTTTTTTTAAAAATAATTTAATTCAACCATAGTTGGGTTACAGCCACCCAACACATTTTTATATTAATAATTTTAATATAAAATATTTTATAATTGGCTTCAACTCACACACTATAACATTTCAAATAAATTTTTACCTCCCACATGCCATTAGGCTAAATCACATTTGTCCATCCTTATACTTCCAACAAGTAAACTAAATCACATATGTCCATCCTTATACTCCCAACAAGTAAAATAAACAATTTAGTCAATTTTCAACACAAGTCAGTTATTTGGCCTTATAATCATGCCATTTTAACCAATCCAAAGTAAACCAAATATTAAAATTACAGTCATCCAAATTGTACCAAAAATAGAAATAGTTTGAAAGGCATGATTACATTTATATATTCATATAATTGACAATAAACAAAAAGCCCTAATATTGGCAATATAACACATTATAAATTATAAATTAAATACTCAAAAGAGACAGTGGATTTATACCACTAAGCCTCTGGGACTCCTCCACGTGTCACTCGTGGTTCTTCTCCTGAAAATTGTTAACCACTTAATGAGACTCAAAAGTCCCAGTAACCAAATTCAATTTATGATAGTGTATACAAACAGTTAAGTGTGTGCTTACTAAGTGAGAATTAAAAATAATATAATTCCAACAAATATATGAAATATTACAATACACACAAACAATCATCCTTATATCCCTCCATTAACCTTGAGCCGTAGCCCTCACTCGGTGCTAAATTACCTGGCCAAAGGTAGATTAGCCCGAGCCCTTACAAACCACCTATTGAGCTCCAATAGGGGCGTACCACGTGGCACATAAATACAACAACAATAGCAAGTCTCCCAACACCTCCCACAATAATCAAATAAATTCATAATAATATTGCAAAATTATATAATATTAAAAAAATTTATAATTTTCTCAATAATCACCCAATTAACATGAAGTAACACAAATCACAAATTAAAAGCATGGTTACTTTGTGGTTTTTTCAATAAATTATTCCTTAAAATTTCTCTCTCACCACAATTTTCACCAGTAATACAATCTACAAATAACATATTATTTATAAATATTAGTTTTAATTTTTGAAACTAATAAAATAATTCTAATAATAGAATTAAAAATATAACATAATTCCTAATCTCAATCTTAATACAAATCTATAGTTAATACTATTAAGTAAAATTTTTAACTCCTCTTTTAATTATCAATAAACATTAATAATCTAAAAATCAACTTCTAAATTAATTTCTATTATCAAAATTTTCTTTTTATTTCATAAATTCGTACCTAAAATACCCAAAAATTAAAAATTGAGTCTCTAGCTTAGAATCATAATCCTATAACCATAATAATTCATTTCTCATCCCAAATAATCATATAAACCTCAATAAATCAACATATATTTTCAGATCTAGTTTAGAATTTGATCCATAAACCACAAATTCAAAGATCATCAACAAATTTATACTCTAAAACATTTATTATACTACTGACAACATCAAAAATCATATTTATTCAACATAAATTCATCCCTCTTCCAGATCTTAAATTTTCTACCACCACAAAATCAGAAACCAAAGAGAAAGGATGACTAAGAAAATTTTTTAGAACATTTACTTAGTCTTGAAAAGCTTAAAATCACACCCTAAATATCCTATTAAAAACTCTTACCTTAAAAACTCAGATCTCCCACACCAGCGACTCACGCTTACTCTGCCTCAGCTCGCGCACGAAGGAAAGAATGAAGAAATGAAAGGAAACGGGTGAGTTTTATAAAAATTCAGTGGGTCCCACATCTTTTTTTTTTATTATTTCTTCTTTCCTCTCTCTCCCTTTTTTTTAATTATTTTATGTAATCATGACGTGGCGCCGAAAGCAACTGGTTTTCTTCTTCTTCTTCCTTTTTTTTAATTCCTTTTCTTTTTCTTTTTTTTATTATAATAATTTAATAATTTAATAATTTTTTTATTTTTTTTATTTTTTTTATTTTTTATTTAGAATTATATCCTAAGTTAGATTTAATGATCATTTTTTACTAATTTACTTACCTCTAAATATTTTTCAAAATTTCTATTAACCCAAATTAATTATTAAAATTTAAATTGAGATGTTACATAAGAAATTTAATTTAAAAATACATAAGTATGTAATGATGAATTCTTCAATTTTTGTATTTGTTTCTTTAGTAATATTTAAGAATTCATTTAATTTCCTAACAATTAAAGCCACATGCCTTGCATGAACTTTTTTTTAATTACTCATAAGTATTTTTTATTAAAAATAATTTTATTTAAAGATGATTAGATATTAAATATAAATACTTTTTTAATAAATATTTAAATATTAATTTATTATATTATAAGAAACAAGTTCCTGTTGCTAAATCACTAAATCATATCATGTTTCATTGCTTCTGCTCATGAGAATGAAAACGTCATCTACTGTCAACTATTTATATTTATATTTCATAACAAACTGTTATAGTCCACTCACAGGGTAATAAAACTTTTAGATTTAAATTTATCTTGGTTATTAATTTGATCTCCTAAATGTAATTTTTATCAATTTAATCTCTTGTATTTTTTTTAAATAATCATGTTAGTTATTTAAGTTTTAAAATAAAAATTGACTTTTAAATTAATCTAACCTGTAAAATATGTTAATGACTTGATATGTATATGTAATTAAATAAAAATAAAATATTTCATAAATCAGTTTAATTTTAATTAATTTAGTCCGTTTATGCTAAATTTTTTTTCTTTCTTGAAATTTTTTTAGTCTTTTTTTATCCAAATAATTATATTTTTTATTAATTTACATTGTTACCATCAATATTTCATTTTTTGTGTTAGCAAATTTTATAAAGAATAGCGTCACCTTCTTCTTAAATAATAATGATCTTTATAACTGAAACAAACTTAAAGAGTCAAATCAGTAAAAAATAAATTGAAGTAATTAAAATTTTTATTATCCTTTCTATTTATAACATAGAGAAATCAAGCGCAGATCTGGGAGAAAAAAATGAAAATATCATTAGTGAACTCATCTTTAGAGATGGAGAGGTGGAGAATTTCCACACCAACCGCGACAGCAATTTTTATCCCTGTTATTCCTCCTAACTGCTATAGGCACGTTGTAGAGGCTAGTTAATTTCCCTGCGTGTTAGTTCTTTTTCTAGCTTTGGTTGCCAATCTATTAGGGGGAAAAAAGAAAAGAAAAGTTGAGGCATCTACCAATATTGGGCACAATATTGATGGTATATATTTATTTTGAACAAAAATATTGATGCTATATTTATTCAACATAATGAGATGCATTATATTAATTCGGCTCATCTTCGATACTCATTAGTGTAATGAGATTTAGACCATTTAAATTTTAATTTAAATGGTTCAGATTTAAAATATTATTTTATTATATATTTTTTAAAATCAAAATTATAAAATAATTTTAAAATTTTTATTTTTAATATAATTTATATTTAATTTAGAGAGTTTAATTTAATATTAAAATTTTTATAATTATTATATATTTACTATCTAGATGTACTCTGTACAATTTATATTTAATTTTGTGTTAATTTGAATTGTGCAGAGTGCATTTAAATAGTTAATATATAATAATTATAAAAATTTTAATATTAGACCAGATTAAATCTAAACTTTTTAAATTAAATTTAGACCAGCTTGAAAAGAAAATTTTTTTATTAAAATTATTTTATAATTTTCATAAATTTTAATTTTAATAAATATAAAATAAAATAATGCTTTAAATTTGCGGTCGAAATTCATTACACTGATGCGAGTCCCATAACGCCATAAAGCATAAACGTTCCGCGCGACAAGGTTTACAGCCTGGTAGATATATGAACCTGTAATGGATTTTTCATTACCGTAGTGAACTCCAGTTTTTCAGACATATCAACGTCACCAATATTTGCAGGCTTCTTCCACTCGAAATTCCAAACCAGATTGGCCACAAAGCACTCCAAATGAAGCAGAGACAATTCATAGGCCGGGCACATCCTTCTTCCTACCCCAAAAGGCATCATCTTTATCTCTTTGCTTCCCGTTAGGTCAAATAATGCTTCACCTTCAACAGTTTCACTGCTCAGGAACCTCTCTGGCTTGAATTCCATGGGATTTTCCGACTCTTTTGGATCCCATCCCATCTCCGCCACCATGAACGTCACAATCCCATTCTTGGGCACCAAGTAGCCATTCAAACCACATCCTCCGTCGCTGCGTGTGGTAGCACAAGATGCCCAGGTGGGTGACGCCTTAATCCTTCCAAAATCACAGCTTTCAGATATGGCATTCTCGTCAAGTCTTCCTCTTTCACTTCCTTGTCTTCTCTCTCGCCCACCACGTCTCTTATTTCCTCCGCAAGCCTTTGTTGGATGCGTGGATGCTTCACCAAGTTTGCCATAATCCAGTGCAGTGACGTGGCCGTGGTGTCCGTCCCTGCGTTCAGAAACTCAGAACACAGAGAAACGAGTTCACCTTCCTCAAGCTTGCGTTTCTCCTCTGGCAACTGCAAGTCCAACAATGTATCCACATATGACACTCTAACTTCATCTCTTTTGGTCAGCTTCTCTTCCTTGGCTTTCTTTCCTGCTCTTATTAGCGGAATCAACACATCTTTTCGTTCCTTAAGAATTTGGAACAATTCCTCCCAATGCTTGCGGAACAATATTCGGGTAACCCTCGGCCACAAATTCAGCAAAGTGAATCTGTTGAAGTTCAAAACTATACGACGCAAAACATATTCGATATCACTGATTTGCTTGTCGTCTAACCTCTCACCGAAGCACATGAACACCAGCAAGCCGAACATAGCGTAGTGGAGATGATCAATCACCTTAATGGTCTTGCTTGATTCCGAATGAGACTTGAGGCGATTGAGGAGCGCGTCCAGAACCCATTTTCTGGTACCCGAGAATGCCTTGATCCGGGTCGGATGAAGCAACTTGGAAGTGAGGTTGCGACGGAGCACGCGCCATGTTGGGCCGCGGGGAGCAGTGTTGATGTTGTGGGGGTTCCTGTTGATGATCTTAGCGCCGGAGAGGGACTTGGGACGGCTAGAGAAGATGGCTCCGTTTCGAATGAGGGCTTGGTGGGCTAGAGAACGATCGGCAATGAATATCGCAGGACGAGAGCCGACGGGGAGAGTGAAGATGGGAAAGTACTTGGCACGTAGATTTAGAAAAAGAGGTTCGTATTCAGAGAATTTGCGTAGAAGAATAGAAGAACCGATGATGGGAATGCGGGCAGGGCCAGGAGGGAGAGGAGGGGATCGAGAGGGGGAGAGAAGGTTGAAGAAAGCTCCGACGATTAGCCAGAGGATGATGGAAACAACGGCGACGAACCAGGGCTCCATGATTATGTGGTTGAGATGGATAGCGAGTATCAGTGAACAGGTCAGAGTGCGTGCGTGCGTGTGTTGCCGCTATATAATGGAGATGCAAGCGAGTGGCGGTGGGTTGGGTTGAACACATTTTCGTAAATTTGTTTCAGATGTTGATGGCTATATTAGTTGTTAAATTTCTATGGCTAGGTGTAATGACAGCTCATACTGTTTTTATAAAATATAGGGAGTCTTATTTATTATTATTTTTCAAATTTTATTTTTATTATAAATTGAATTTTATGGCTAATCATATAGTATTATATATCTCTTTCTTTTTAATACTTTTAATAGGGATAAAGTTAAAATTTTTTATTTTAAGATATATTTAAAAATTTAATTATTATATTTTTTTTATTTCAGTGAAATAGCTAAAGTGCTTTCTAAGCACAGGAGGGAGAAATGTTGGTTAAATGAGTATTTATCAAAATTAAAATTATTGTATCTATTGGAAAGGTCGCTGTAATTCAAATGGATTGAACTCTAGCTGTTTACTTTTTGTTTCAGGTTATGAAATTTATCAGGACAGCTTCAAATTTGGAAAAGCTAAACTTGAACTAAATAATAAATTCTTAATCGTTGATGTATATAGGGCATTTGGCATGCAAAGCAAGTATAAGAACAAGGACAAGTAACAACAATCATAATTGGTATCCGATTGTGACGATGAAGGAGTTGCTTGTATAAATATGACAGAGAGCATCGTGGTGAAGAAAGAAGAACGCTGCAAAGTGATCATAAACATAAACGAACATATCAGCATGCATAAGGTTTAGTGAAGAGAGAGGGGCATCTTTATCATTGTAACCCAATAAGTAAGGGCAGCTTTGTCTTTTTATTTTAATTTTAAATTATACTCAAGTTTTAAGGAATTTAACGATGATTTTTAAAAAATTTTTGAGAACTATTTATAAATAAATCTAACCTATATATAATTTTTCCTTAAATATAATTTCATTAATGGTTTAAAGTTTAAATTTTTAATTGATAATTTTTGAACTAAAAATTAATTTATTTTTAACAAAATGAAGGTTAGATAGTAATTTTTAATTCTAGATTCTGCATCTATTAAAATTATAAACTATTAAAATATAAAAAATAAAATAATATTAAATTTATACCTACCGCATTAAATTTAAACCAAACAATATAGTTTCGTTTTAGAGGATCTTCTTTGTCTTTTTTGTGAAGAAACAGCGCAAGAGCCCAACAACAACAACAAACTAAACAATTTAACGTGGGTTAACACAGCCCAAAACATCCCTATGCCGCAACAGCACACAAACCTGAAGGAGGTTCATGCAGCAACTGGACGATATTCGTTTGAAGGTAGCTCCATCTTGCCAGCCAATTTGCCCATTGATTCCCTTCACGCACTACAATTTTTTTTTTTTTTTAAGACGATCCTCTATTTGTGTAGCATGTTCTTCTAAACCTCTCATTATTATATACGCCTCAATCCTGTAACACCTTTAATTCTAGTATTTCTTATATCCGATTTATTACACACACCCTCCGATCCAACAGCAGACGATTAATATGCTCTTGCGGAAACCAAAGAACATCTCTAAGTATGTATAAAAATCAAAATCAAATGACTGTTCTATAACTTCTATGAAAAAAAAAAATTCTTTTAGCGTATTTAAAAGATAGTATATGATGACAATTGCATATTTCTTTATTAGTTAAATAAAAAGCACCAACTTAAAAGGACTACTGACGGCATCTTACTTCTGATCTTACTTACGCAACATTAAAATACTAAAAGCATGCATGAACTTAGATTTGATGTATCTAAAGCCTGGGAGATATATGTACCTGTAATGGACTTTTCATTACGACTGTGAATTCTTGTATCTCTGACAAATCAACATGATCAGTCGGAGCCTTCCACTCAAAATTCCAAATCAGATTGGCCACATAATACTCCAAATGAAGCATTGCCAGATTATAGCCTGGGCACATCCTTCTTCCTACCCCAAATGGCATCATCTTTATCTCTTTGCTTCCTGTAATATCAAATGCTTCGCTTCCACTCCCTTCACTGTTCAAGAACCTCTCTGGCTTGAACTCCATTGGATTTTCCCACACTCTTGGGTCCCACCCCATCTCTGCCACCATGAAATTTACAGTCCCGTTCTTGGGCACCAAGTAATCATTCAAAACCACGTCTTCTGATACTGCATGTGGCAGCACAAAGTGTCCAGGCGGGTGACGCCTAAGTCCCTCCAAGATCACAGCTTTCAGATATGGCATTTTGGTCAGATCTTCTTCTTTCACTTCCTTGTCCTCTCTCTCACCCATCACTTCTCTTATTTCATCCACGAGCCTTTGTTGAATATGTGGGTACTTCACCAAATTTGCCAGAATCCATTGTAATGCTGTAGCTGTTGTATCTGTCCCTCCATCTAGAAACTCCGAACAGGCAGAAATCATTTCAGATTCTTCAAGCTTGCGCTTCTCCTCAGGCAACTGCAAATCCAACAACGTATCCAAGTAAGACACTGTACTTTTACGTTCTTCCATGTTATTGTCCTCGTTGGATTTGCTCAACCTCTCTTCCTTGGCTTTCTTTCTGTCTCTTATCAGTGGAATCATTACGTTTTCTCTGTCCTTGAGCATTTGCAGTAATTCCTCCCAACGATTACGGAACAATATTCGAGTCACTCTTGGCCATAAATTTAGGACGTTGAACTTGGTGAAGCTCAGAAGTAAACGACGCTGAACGTATTCAATATCCTTGACCTGTTTCTCATCGAACCCCTCGCCGAAGCACATGAACACCAGCAAGCAGAACATAGCATATTGGAGATGGTCAACCACCTTAACGGACTGGCTTGATTCTGAGTCCGACCTGAGGCGACTGAGAAGCACGTCCAAGACCCATTTACGAGCACCCGAGAAGGATTTGATCCGGGTTGGGTGGAGCATCTCGGACGTGAGGTTACGACGGAGCACGCGCCACGTCGGACCGTAGAAAGCAGAGCTGATATTATGCTGGTTACTGTTGATGATCCTGGCGGCAGGGGGGGCCTTGGGGCGGTCAGAGAAGACGGCGCCGTTCTGAACGAGGGCTTGGTGGGCGAGAGAGCGATCGGCGATGAATATAGCAACACGGGAACCAATAGGGAGAGTGACCATGGGGCCATACTTGGCGTGAAGAGTTCGAAGAATGGGTTCGAGTTCTGAGAATGATTTTCCGACGAAAATGAAAGAACCGAGGATGGGGATACGGAGAGGACCGGGAGGAAGAGAAGGAGAGCGAGAAGGGAGGAGAAGGTTGAAGAAAGCTCGAAGGAGGAAGCAGAGAGAGAGGGAGACGAGGACGACGAACCAGACCTCCATGATGATTGAAAGGAAGTGATGAGAGAACTGAGAATGAAAGGATATAATTAAAGCAAGGACTGGATTGGAGTGGCGTTTGGATATGAAGGTAAAAAAAATCATAAAATCATAAAAATGAGATTGAGACGTGTGTGGTGGTGGGGGTTGCCGTGGAGGGCAGAAGTCAAAAGGTCAGATTAAAAAAAAAATTAAAATGTTTTATTGACGATGTAAGAAGTTTTTTAATTATATTTCTGATTATATTTTTATTTTATAAATTATGATTAAATAATAATTCTAGATAAAGAGTTATGGACACAAGAGGACCACTACTTTGGTTTCACTAATTACACCTTGCACGTAACTGCAATGTAATGGTCCAAAAACCTAGTTGTCAAATAATTAAAATATCATAACGAGCGAAAATGATGTCCTTTTGATTTATGTAAAGGCTGAGTAATGTAAAGTGAAATGCATATGTTTACATTTTGTTAAGGAAAGAAAAAACAGCTAGACTCCAATACGCGTTGTTCCATTTTATTTCATATTCCTATTTTAATTTTATTTGTATATATCAATCTTTATAAAATATATTTGTGTTTGTTTGACGTGACTTTTTGCCATGTCTTATGATTTTTGCCTTTGCCTGGTGCGGTTACGAATTAAATTACCCAGAAAACTGATGTTAATCATCTGATCATCCTTACTTACTGACGCTTCAAGGAAACTGTCCCAAAATCAAAGACCTTAGATTTGAAATATACTTCTTTTGATTTTATTATAAATTATTTTCAACATGTTCCATCAAAATAAAGTAAAATTTTAAATCTTATTAACTTTATCTCAAAATTTAATAAGTTTTCATTTTTATCCTTAATAAATATTTTAAATCTCATTATTAATATTTTTATTCAAAACATTTAATAAAGATAAAAATATTAAAAAATATTAAAAATTAGTAAGTGTTCTATAAATAAAATTAATTTTTTTTTTATAAATAAAATTAAAAGAGGGCATGTTGTTCATGTATCTGATGAAGCCTCAAAGATACATGAAGCTGTAATGCATGTGCCAATGTTGCGGGCAAAAAGTGTAAACATCCACAGGAGGCTCGATTGGGTTCCCCCAAGGAAGCCTTTGTATTACTGCTATGTTTGCTAATATTAGCCAAAATCCCAAGAAATTGCAACATCCAAACATAAGAGTTGGCTTAGGGAACAACTATTCTACGCTCTGACTCTCTTCACATGATCTGAAAAAAAAATTGTAAAAGTGTCCAAATAGATGCTGAAGATGAGGTACGAACGAAGAACTGTGACATTATCTACTGCGCTAATAATCTCATATATGCTTATTGCTGAATGAAAACTGCCAATGGCAGCACGAATGCACAAATTTCATATGCCATATGCTGAACTTGAGGTAAGTAAAGTTGTTAATTAGGGTTAAGCCTAAAAAAAATTAAGAGCCACGCCTATCAAAAACTAAAATAAGTCATTTTATATATGTTTTTAAAATTTAATAAAAAAATAAATACTTTGAAACTAAATATTACATATAATAACTGATGAGGCTCCATAAGAAGAATGATTAAATTATATTAACATGAATGTTAATAAAAATCATCAAGATTTAATTGATGATGTAAGTAAAGTTTAATTATTATTGATGTTAATTTTATGATGTTACTACTTTTGATTAGACTTAAATTTATTATTGTATGTATTGTCTTAAATTTATTATACTAGACTTAATGTTATGTGTAATAATTTTTTAAAATTTTTAATATATTTTTTAAAATGTTAAATTAAAAAATAAAAAAATTATATTGAGGACTGGCACTTCAACTTTAAAAGTTAGAGTCGAGTGGATTAAAATAAAATTCTAAAATAAAATTAAGCTTTATCGAGACAGCTAGTTTTGACAACCCTAATTATCAACTTTTGAGGTAGGAAATACATCTGTGGAGCATTTGCAGAACTTTATAGACCTAGGGAAAGGGGAAGGAGAAGAGAGAGAAAGATGGAAAAAGCCAAAACTTTCAAAATTTAATACAATAATCATAAAAAAAATAATACAAACTCTGGCTCTATTTATAAATAAATAAAAATAATAAAATAATAATTTATATTTAAATTTATATTCAAATCATAAATCTAATTTAAAATTCCAAAGATAGTGATAGGATACTAATTATTCTAATTTATTGAAGATAAATAAATCATAATCTTAATTATAATCATATTTTCAAAGATAACCGTAATATAATATCTCAATTAACAATTATTATTTCATGTTCCATCACCTAGAGCCTAGGAGATAGATAGACCTGCAATGGAGATTTCATCACCGTGGTGAACTCCTGTTTCTCTGAAAATTCTACATCACTGTTCGAACTTTAAGCCTTCCACTCAAAATTCCAAATGAGATTGGCCTCAAAGTATTCAAGGTGGAGCAATGCCAGATTATAACCAGGATAGATTCTCCTCTCACCCCCAAGTGGCATCATCTTAATCTCCTTGCTTCCCGTTATGTCAAATTATATTCTTCACCTCCATAAATCTTCTCAAACCACAAGAACCTTTCTGGCTTGAATTCAATTGTATCTTCCCACACATTTGGATAGCTCGTCCCATCTCTGCAACATAAAATTTATGATTCCACTTCTAGGAACCGAGTAATTATTCAGAAACACGCCCTCTGACACTGCATGTGGCAACAGAAAGTGTGCAGGTGGATGACGCCTCAGTCCTTCCAGAATCACAGCCTTGAGATATGGAAGTCTCTGCAAGTCTTCCTCTTTCACTTCCTTGTCCTCTCTCTCACCCATCACATCTCTTATTTCATCCACAACCCTTTGTTTGCCAAAATCCATTGCAGCGCGGTAGCTGTTGTATCCGTCCCTGCATTCAGAAATTCAGAACATAAGATGACATGTTCAGATTCATCAAGCTCGCGCTTCTCCTCAGGCAACTGCAAATCCAGCATAAGTATCCGCATATTGCACTGTAACTTCGTCTTCCTCAAGGCACACTATGGCTTTTATCAACCTCTCTACCTTGGCTTTCTTTCTCACTCCTATAAGTGCAATCAACACATCATGTTCCTTCCGATAGTGGAGGAATTCGTCCCAACGTTTGCGTGACAATATAATATTTCGAGTGACAATTGGCTAGCAATTTAGAATTTATTGTACCTGTTGGAGTTCACCATTGTTCGTCGCCGAACATATTCGATGTCCTTCATTTGCTTGTCAGCTAAACCTTCACCGAAACCCATGGATACTAGCAAGCAGAACATGTCACATTGGAGATGGTAACGACCTTAATGGAATTGCCAGATTCTGAGTCAGTTTTGAGGTTTTGAGAAGCACGCCTAAACCCCACTTCCGGATTCCCCGACAAGGATTTGATCCGAGGGATGAAACATCTTGGACGTCAGGTTGCGGCGGACGCGCGACGTGGGATCGTAGAAAGCAAGTTGATGCTATATGCGGATTACCGGTCATGATCGATCTTAGCGCGGCATGGTCGAGATATTAAAACATAAAAGAAATTAAATAATTTAAATTATTTTAATATAATTTACTGCTCTAAATATATTTAATATAAAAAATATTATAAATCATTTGATTGAGAATAAAAAAACTAAAAGAAAAAAAAAAAAATAAGATGTTAAAAAGAAGGAAAAAAAGAAATTGAAAAAACTTTACTTAAAAGACTAAAAAAATATAAAATATTTGAGCACCAATGAAAGAGAAGCGAAGATGGGAATGTGGAGGGGACCAGGAGGGAGAGAAGGAGAGTGACGGGGAAAGAGAAGATCGAAGAAAGGCAGGGAGAGAAAGAGACGACGACGATGAACCAAGCCTCCACAATCAAGCACTGCGATGAAGCTGAGCAAAAGCTGGGAGAAATATAAAGGTGAAATAAAATGGATTGAATTCAACACAAAAATCTCACCAAATCTTGAACGTGTCATCCAAATCTTGTCGATAGTAAGATTTATATATAATGAGACAACCGTGTAGCCACGTATCAGGTCCAAATTATTAACATATGAATCTTGAAATGATTGATGATGTATATACTGTTATGACAAGGGTTGAAAATGGATTGAAATTAAAATTATGTATGGCAACGAAAATCTAATCATGCTTAATTTCCGTTGAAAATATGAGTTATCTTCATTAAGCTTGCTTTACACATCATCCTGTCCTTTTCTAATTTAGTACAGTTCTCTTCAACGCATGGGAAACAATATAACGAGGAAGAATTTGGCCGTTAATTAAGCATATTAAACAAGTATAAGTTCAACAATAAACCAAGTTTAACATCTTCTATTTTCTTAACTTGGTTGTTAATTGTCATCTAATCTTTTTCATTATTTAGTAAAATGAACCTGTTTGAGTTAAATATAAAACGTCACTCAACTAGATTACAATGTTAGTTAAGCTGAATAGTTGAAATATCAAGTTCAATATAAACAAAAAAGACGGCCCCAAAACTCATTAAGACCACAACACATAATATATTGAAATTTCATCAGCTTTAAATATCAGATCGTTAGCAGGAAGAGACGATTTTAAATGAAGTCGAAATCTACGCCCAAGTAATTCAGTGAAAATGGCTGATAAAGAGACCGTGCCATGAGTTTCGCAGGATTCCTGAATCTTCGATAGAACGTGCTAAGTTTTAAAGGAAAGGCTTCTACTATCAGACATATAAAGGAAGGAAAAAAATAGAGAAAACAGTCAACACTCAATCAAAACTCACATAATTTACATTTATAGCCCTTTCAGTTCTTTGTTTTTTTGTCTGTAACTTTCAAATACTTCAATAAAATTACATACTTATTCTACCAAAGCTTACAAATCTTTCTACATCCGAGCGAACTGTGGTAAGAAAACTCGGGAGCTTTTTATTATCTATTTGAGATCCAACATCTTGACACGCTTGATATTATCGTTCAAACCACAAACAGAACTTATGACTTGTTATAAAAAATTTGAAACCTATAACTATTAACATTAAAAAAAGTATTGGGCAAAACTTGTGATTGAAACGGAAAATCAACACGAGTGAGAGCACCGAAATTTTGGATTATCATGAGAAGATACGTATAAATAATTTTGAAAGAATTATTGTAGAGTCCCCCAAAAGGCTATTTAATACTCTGAAACCCGATAAAATATATAAATACCCTTGAAGTCCCAAAGTCATTCACTGTAAATAACTTTTTATGTCTAATTACCGAGGTGCCCATCATCCGGAAAAAAGAAAAAGAAGACGAAACTCCATTACTCCACACCAACTCTCAGGGAAGATGACCCATTTTAAATCTTCTATGCCTTCTTCTCCTATTAATCTTGTTTGCCTTAATTTGAAGCTCACCCGAGGCTACTTCAGTTGTAATTTAATTACTCAGAAACTATGAACAGTGGGTTTCAAACTGTTACACCCAAACTCCGTCCAACAATCTTTGTTTTTTTTTTTTTTTACCAGTAACTCCGTCCAACAATTATGAAAGACACCTTCTAACAAGTTCTAATATGCCATTTGGAACCACCATCATCCGCAACTCCTTTTGAGGAGCAATTAGAGTTCCATATATTGGAGTCACTTGCTCTAGCAGCACAACCATTATTACTAAATATAGAAGCATGGGTCAATGTCGATGTTTGAAACGAAGTTCTTATATCCCTCGTGCATTACCAAGTTATATGGAGGAGGAATCATGCATTACCTGCGAGATGATGACTCTGACTGATCGAGAATAGTTTTTTTTTTTTAAAAAAAAGTTCCTGCTGTAACTTACTATCCTGAAATTTAATATATCATCATTTGTAAAGTCCCACATGAAAAAAAAAAAAAAGAAAAGAAAAGAAGAAGAAGAAAAGAAAAATATGCCACTCTATTGTTAAGAACTAATCTCTGTTTCTGTTAAGAAAAGCAGGGGAGAACAGAGATGATCGAATATATTTAATAGACCACGCTCTTGTGCTCTCTGTAATGTCAGTTCAACTACCTCCAATCCTTCGGGGAATCACAGACACCTGACCTGCCATTTCCTTCCATAATCATTGGGAGATTGTAGCCGAGGCTGACGTCCTAAAAATCTTGGCCACTTGTGGTGTCGAGAATGAATTCAGCGAACGTGGGGAGAGGGGCTACCCTAGAACAGTCGCATTCGAACCATTATAAAAGCGGTCTGACCACCCGCCCGGAGAGTGGAATGAACGTAGTGTCTTTGGGGAGATCGAATCCGTTTGGTGTCGAGCCCTGGACTTCCTGCATTTGCAAGAATACACGACCATGCAGTAGTCGCATCTGTTTACAAACGGGAGAAGACAAATGAGATTTAAAATGGGCCATCGATTATTGGAGTAGCCGTTGGGAGCTTCAGCCTTGGTTTCCCAGTTCATGGGCAAGTTGGTAATTGGACAACTGAAGTTATTTACAATAAACGACTACGAGACTTCAAAGTTTTGCATATATTTCATGAGACATTAGAGCAATTAGGTAGCTTTTTACAGTCATTCCCCCAATAATTTTGTTCCCTTATTTGGCCATAACGAATGAATTTTTTGGAAACATTTTAGTGAGAACCCAACTTAATTTCAGCCAAACAATTAAAATTTTAAAATTTCACTGCATATGTGAGGAACTAAAATGAAATTAAAGAATTAATTAAAATGACCTTATTATCCTGGTAAAAATAGACGCATAAACAATTCATGTAAAAAAAATTAATTATTGTATAGAAAATAAACAAAATGTATCTAAAATTTACAATTGTTATTAACAACATAACACTGCTGAATTTGCAACCTTTATTCTACCTATATCAATTGTTCATTTTTTATACATTAATTGTTCATTTTTTCTATATGAGTTGTTATGCACCTAACTTTATTTATTTATATTTATAATAGTGTTACACTGTTGATGAAAGTTGCACATTTTACCTAAGTTAATTGTTCATTTTTTATATATTAATTATTTATTTTCCTGTACAAGTTGTTTGTACATCATGCTTTGTCAAAGACAATAAAATCATTTTAGTCAATCCTTCAATTTCATTGCAGTCCCCCACATGTGTGGTGTGAAATGAAATTCATAGTTTTAAGAGTTTCTGGCCAAAATTAAATCTGGTCAAGGGTTGTCATTGAAAATTTCCCAATATTCTTTCCCAGCGTTTTCAGAACATGGCAACTTCTTAAAAAAAAAAAAATTCCACTGGTTCAAAAAAAAAAAACAGAGAGATTTATATACTTTTTTTCCCTAAGATTCATGTCTGAAATAAGGATATCCACTGCCACTTCCACTCAATAACGTTAATAGAGAGCCGTGAGTAGGCCAGTGATATATGCAAACAGAATCCTTTGCCTTTAGAAACTTGGGAATAGATTTGTTGCACTTTTGCTTTTTTACGTATATTTCATTGCGTATTTCTTATTTTCTTAATAAAAAGAAAGAAAGAAGATTTGAAAGATGTGTAAAGTATGTTGATAATAAAATAAGAGATACATAAGAAAATGCATAAAAATATAAGTGCATCACAAGTTCAGAACCATTTCCCCTTCCCCATAGAACCTTAGCCATGCATTGTTAGAAGGTTAAGCAGCTGGTGTAACATAACATAATGAGATAATATATGTAACGGGCTTAATTTGATTTTCACATGAGTTTATATATACTATATACAAGAGGAAGAAATACACTAAGATTAACTTCACAAACTCTATAGTCTCTGACTAGCTGTACATACAAGCTTTGTAACATAAACTACGTAACACTGGCAAATTCCATCCATAATCTTGTTTACTCTGTCATGGCGGATTAAAATGCAGAAATCACCTAAAGCAACCATTAATAATAAATTCACACATAAAGAGCTTTGGACAACATGAGGACCAGTATTAAGACATTGAAAATACATGGAATATTTCCATTCTCAGATTTACCATATCATCAAGCCTCATTCCTTAATATAATGACAGAACAAGAAAGAAAAGAAAAATAGAATTGAACAGTTGGCTTAAAGAAACACTGCAATTAGTTATATAAAAGATGTACTGGTTGAGAATCAAACATGATTGGTCTGATATGACAAAAACAACAAGCAGCAAGAGAAAAACACAACGGTGGCTTTAAGATCGCCATTTTATCTCTTGCGGTGGATAAAGTTGGTGGTTTTTGAATCATGTGATGAATTAATTTTCTAGTCGGCAGATGCCAAACAGAATCAATATTCAACATGACAATTGAAATACACAAAAGCAAATCCTTAATAAGTATAATGGACCTATAACTTCTAGCGTTAAAGTAAAGTATTACAAGTCTCATATGCATATATCAGACATCGTTTTGTTTCTTTACAAAACATAATGGCCAAAATGATAATATAATGAAGGAGTCCTAATTCATTGAACAAGCACCAAAGAACTGTGATGTTATCAACCACTGATCTTAGTTATGCTAAATGAAACTGCTAAAAGCAGCAAGAAAACACAAATTTCATATGCCGTATGGAATTATAGATACTGAACATGACGTAAAACAAATATTTTTGGGGGCATTTACAGTAACCTTGTCACATAATCAGAAGGATGATTATTAGAAGAGCATAGAGCGAGGATTTGATATTATTTCTGTGTCTAAAGCCTTGGAGACAAATAGACCTGAAATGGATATTTCATCACCGTGGTGAATTCCTGTTTCTCTGACAAATCTACCTCACCATTTGAAGCCTTCCACTCAAAATTCCAGATGAGATTGGCCACAAAGTATTCAAGGTGGAGCATTGCCAGACTATAACCAGGACAGATTCTTCTCCCTGCTCCAAATGGCATCATCCTGATCTCTTTACTTCCTGTAATATCAAATGCTTCACCTCCATTTTTCTCATAGTTCAGGAACCTCTCCGGCGTGAATTCCATTGGATTTTCCCACACCTTTGGATCCCATCCCATCTCCGCAACCATAAAATTTATCATTCCATTTTTAGGTACCAAGTAATCATTCAAAACCACATCCTCTGACACTGCATGTGGCAGCACAAAGTGTGCAGGCGGATGACGCCTCAATCCTTCCAGAATCACAGCCTTGAGATATGGAAGTCTCTGCAAGTCTTCCTCTTTCACTTCCTTGTCCTCTCTCTCACCCATCACATCTCTTATTTCATCCACAACCCTCTGTTGGATATGTGGATACTTCACCAAGTTTGCCAAAATCCATTGCAACGCGGTAGCCGTTGTATCCGTCCCTGCATTCAGAAACTCAGAACATAAGGTGACCAGTTCAGATTCATCAAGCTCGCGCTTCTCCTCGGGCAACTGCAAATCCAGTAAAGTATCCACATATGGCACTGTAACTTCATCTTGCTTACTGCCCTCCATGGCTTTTATCAGCCTCTCTTCCTTGGCTCTCTTCCTCGCTCCGATAAGCGGAGTCAAAACATCTTCTTGTTCCTTCCGAATTTGGAACAATTGCTCCCAACGCTTGCGGAACAATATTCGAGTGACGCTTAGCCAGAAGTTTAGGAAATTAAACCTGCTGAAGTTCACGAGTAAACGACGCTGAGCCTTTTCAATATCCCTGATTTGCTTGTCAGCTAAACCTTCACCGAAACACATGGATACCAGCAAGCAGAACATAGCATATTGCAGATGGTCAATTACAGTAATGGAATTGCCGAATTCTGAGTCAGATTTGAGGCGATTAAGCAGCACGTCTAAAACCCACCTCCGTATCCCCGAAAAGGATTTGATCCGGGAGGGATGAAGCATCTCGGACGTGAGGTTGCGGCGGAGGACGCGCCACGTGGGACCGTAGAAAGCAGAGTTAATGTTATGCTGATTACTGTTGATGATCTGGGAGGTGGCACGGGCCTTGGGGCGGGTAGAGAAGACGGCGCCGTTCTGAACAAGGGCTTGGTGGGCGAGAGATCGATCGGCTATGAAAATGGCGGGTCGTGAACCAACAGGTAGAGTGACGATGGGACCGTATTTAGCATGAAGATTGCTAAGAACGGGTTCAAGTTCGGAGAAGGATTTACGGAGAAAGAGAAGCGAGCCTATGATGGGAATATGGGGAGGACCGGGAGGAAGAGGATGAGAATGAGAGGGAAGGAGAAGATTGAAGAGAGCTCTGATGAGAAGGCAGAGACTGAGGGAGACGAGGATGACGAACCAGGCCTCCATGATTGAGCAGTGGATTGCGTGGAATTGAACCAAACGGGGCGAGAAATATCGGGGAAATGGATTCAATCTGACGATTTGATGGGCTTTAAAAACATAGGCTTGTCTAATATGTTGCAATGAAGACACGGTGAAAGAAAAGTAAAATGCACAAGCGAAGAAACCAAGCTCCACATCTTGTCGTTGACAATCAAATCCAAACATTGTCCATGGCCAAGAATTTATCACACAACCACATTCATCGCACATCGTTCAGATATTGCAGGGTAAATTTTAGGGAAACCAGCAATTATGAACTTATAAAAATATTAATAATAATTATAATTTTAAATTACTAAAATTTTAATAAGAGATTATGATTTTTACTTACAATAAATTATTTTTTATAATAATTTATAATTCTCAATTATAATAAACTTTAACAAATTCTCAATTAACGCTACAAAGATTTTTAACTATTTTTATTAATTTTCTAAATGATAGTAAAAAATAACAAATGATTAGCTTGTCATTTACAGCTGAATTTCATAAATTATCAACCAATATTACAAATAATTTTAAATATATTTAGTAAATTTTTAAGTAATTTTTTATATATTATAAGAAAAAATTATAAATAATTAGCTTGCAATTTATAATTAACTCTTATAAATTTTTAATTAACATTGTAAATAATTCTAAGTATATTTACTAAATTTTTTAAGTGATTTATCTATATTTATTAGTAGTAAAAGTTTAAGATTCTCAACTAACTTTCATAAATTTTAATTGATATTACAAATAGTTCCAAATATCATTAGTAGATTTTGCCATTAAGTATTCACATTTTTTTTAATTATAAGTAAGGATTATAGTCCTTTATTAAGATTTCAATAATTTTATATATGTAATTGTCATTCATGTCTTATAAGGTCTCTAATTATCATTTATCCTAAATTTTAAAATTAACAAATCTAAAATTTATTAATTCTATTTAAAAGATTAATAAATTTTTAATTTATTCTTATTATTCACACACACCATTTCACTAATATATTTTCTCTATACAATATTTAATGAAAGATAAAAGAAAAAATTTATGAGAATAAATATTTAAAATATTCTTTTCCTGCCTCATAAATAAGACCCAAAAAAAGTATAATCTAACACCCTGCCCAATTTCATATGAGAATAAATACTTTTTTTGTTAAAAAATATAAGGTATTTTTAATCAAATCTCACCTCTAAATAAAGTAGTTATCTACTTTCAAACTAAACAATATCTTTCATATTTATTTCTATTAAACATTCTACAATAAATATAAAATTATTTATTAATAGGGATACTTTTTTTAAAAAAAAATAATGATTACATTTCAAAAGATTAAAAATGTCTTATATTTTTTAACATTCAACTTCTTAAAAAATATTTTATATTTTGAATGGGGGAGTATTTACAATGCCAAAGTGCCTCTTAACTTAATTACCCTACACGTCTAAAAAAAAGAGTAAATTACATTTATCTACCTTCTATTTAATCTTAATTACATATATCTTTTTTTTATTTTAAAAACCAATGCAAATTTCTCCAAAAATCAATAATAACGAAATACAAACCTCTCTTTTACTTTAAAGATTTTATTTCCAGCCAACGAAATTGTTATTAATTGACTATTAAGTTATATTTATTGAACCAAAATACCTTGTCTTTGAACATAAGTATTACCTTAAAATTATTTAAAATACCAAAAAAAATTAATTCATACATTTTTTTACATTTTTATTCATATTTTACTTTTAGTTATGTAAAATTATTTATTATTAATTTTCAAAAATTAAACACATAGGTTGGCTAAGTTAATATTATAAACTTGCAACTCAATGAAATAGGTATTTAATATGATAAGAGCTAAATTATTTAATATGATTTATGTTTAATCTACTGTACGAAGACCTTATAAAATTGTCACCATTTTGTCGGCTTGTGGAGGCTATACTTTTTGCAACGATAAAAAAATTTTAGAAAATTTTATAGTTGTCCAAAAATTATGAGACTTTACAAATTTTGTCCTCATATCAACTCCAGGAAGCCTACAAAAAGGTGCATAAATTGAAGGTTTTTAGGTCCTTTCAATTAGAGTGTTGCCATTTCATAAAAAATATATCTATTCATGTTAAAATAAAAAAAGTCCATATTACTTTTCAGGAGGAGGCAACCCTCCCTCTATTTTTTCATGAACCCTCAAGAACCTTGTGCTTGTGCTTGGTGTGTTGCGCGATGCACGATAAAATGACTCAAGTTTTGAGGCAAATGTAGGTAAACCCTGAACCTTGCCAACACTCACCACAAGTTTGTTCGAATTTGCCAAAACTTTCCCTGAGCTTATTTAGAGTTGCTAATGCTTGTTATAAGCTTGGTTGAGGTTACCAACACTTGCCTGAACCTTGCCAACAATCTTACATTGGACTTCCAACACTTTTCTAAACCTTACTAACACTTGCCACGTGTTTTTTTGATGTTGCCAACATTTGCTGTATATTGCCAACACTTGCCAACACTTGCTCAAACCTTGCCAACACTAGCTACAAATTTGCTTGGGGTTTGCGCACATTTGTACAAACTTTATCAACACTTGTTACGTGCTTGCCTAGGGTTTGCCTATGCTTGCTTGGACCTTGATTCTTTTTATTGCACATAGCACAATGCACCAATAGCTTGTTGGATTCTTGAGGGTCCATGAAAAAAATAGGGGAACCCCCTTTGAGGCTAGGGTATCACTCTCAAAGAATAATACAAGCTTTTTCCACTCTAAAATGAACATACATGTTTTTTGTAAAATGACAATATCTCAGTTGAGGAACCTAAAAACCTCCGATTCATGTGATTTTTTGTAGGTTTCTTAGGGATGATATAAGGATAAAATCTACAAAGTTTCATAATTTTTGGACAACCATAAAATTTTTTAATTGCTTCAAAGAGTGGGCCTCCACAACTTACTAAAATGATAACAATAAAATAAATTATTTAATTATTATTATAATTGATCATTTAAAGTTCATTAAATTTGGATGGAGAGAGTATACAATTCAATTATAAGAGCAAATTAGTAATTGTAAATTTTCCAACATAATTGATTATAAGAAAAAAATTAAATATTTTAAAATATTTAATAGAATATTCCTAAACAAGTTAAAAATTAGACTAAAGTTATGTTTTGGAAACAGGAGGGAGGTCCCTGTAATTTTAGTAAATAGAAGGGAAGTAATAATAATTTACTCAAAAGAAGAAGAAGAAGAAGAAGAAGTTGTAGGTTCTACATTCTATACGGTGAAAAGAAGAGCTATCAATTAAAGTTGATAACTATAGCTCAGTGGTACAAATCTCTTGCTTTTTGACTACAAACCTCTTGCAGTCACATTTTCCTTATATCTGGACAACAAAAATTTAATATGAAATTAGTGAAAGGAAAACTTATATACTTAACTTTATATACTTAATATATTTATTTTTAATTAAATCAAGATATGTGTATCATTTATAATTTATTTATTTTATAATAAATTTTATTATTAATATTATTAACACATTAAAATTTACATGTTTTGATTTAATTAGATGCAAGTATATTAAATATATCAGATTAATTACTTAAATTATACATATTAATGAAAACAACATGGCAGCTGACATACAACAAAAAAAAAAATTAATAATTCTTTTTGTGCAACTTGCATTGGTCAAAATGTTTTTGAAAGAAAAAGTCATTTGAACAAATTCTTATATATCCAAACATAATATTTAGCCTTTAATTGGTTTTGGTTTCTCTTTTGGAGAAAAATTTGGTTTTGGTTTTAAAACATTTGTTATAAGCAACAAAAACCCAAACCAAACATTAATTAAAGTATTACAAATCTCATATGCTATAAGAAAAATTCTTGCATAAACTCGATACATCATATCATTTATAATTTGTTTAATAAAAACATACAATGTTAACACTGATTCAATCAAATAAACTCTCATGTGTTATTATTTTAATAACTTTATTTTTAGAATTTCTTTTCTTATCTTTTTTCACTCCATAATTATTAATGACAAAATAAATTTACAATAACAATCATTTGACATGGCATGTTTTTATTGGACAAATTATAAATGACATAGTGTGCGGCATTGTGCAAGAATTTCTCATTCTATAAGCAAACTTCCCACAAAGGAAGGGCAATTTTCTTCTAACATTTCAAATCTGTATATCTATCAAAATGAAAGTGTATTCTTTTTCATGTTACACTACTATGAAAATGAGTTTATAAAACAGTTATTTTTACTAATGTTAAACGATTGTGAACATAAATAATATGGCATTGAATATTCTTGTAGTCTCTATTCGATGGTTATTAACCATTTAATATTCTTGATTTGTTAAATGATTTTTATCTAAAAATAGTTTAATTTGAGTTTGAGATTTAGAGATATCTAATTAGGAATCACTTTAATATTAGAACAATATTAAACAGTTGTGACAGAATAACCATTTAATATATATATATATATATATATATATATAATGGTTGTAATGAGACAGCTATTTATATTTATGCACTGTTATTTTTGTCATAATATTACATGGTTTTCTCACATAATCATTTAATATTATGATCAATTTTTTTAACCCTCTACATTTTACATTACAAAAGTAGATTCCAACACAAAATATGTACCCTGAAAACAAAATTTCAAAGGCCACCACAAATTAGATATATGAAATATATATCATGAATTCCTAAACAAAAGCTATTTATAATTTGAAATTGCTTAAGTTAAATCAATTAGTAGCAAATATAAGGCTCTAAATCCCAAAACTTAAACAAGTATACTTATATAATCTATGCCAATTTTAGGGCGTACATTTGCATGAACAGCTTTTGACATTTGGAAAGTACTATTGAACTTTTCAGATGTCAATAGTTGTTTAGGAAATTTTAATTGAACAAAATAATTTTTGAAATGTGAATTGAAATGAGGTATGAAAGTGAATTTTAAAACTCTATTTTGAGTTGGATTTCAAACATCAGATATGAGTTTAGAATTTAATGATATGAATAAATTTGTACCCAC